CAATGATTACAAATTTAATCTAAATTTTGTGCGTTTATTTCGGTGTTGAGTACACACTTGAATGCTGCTGCATCTTCACTTGCATGCGCCGAGCGGCAAATAGGCTAGACTAGGGGTATGGCTGGCTACCGCCGCCAAGTATAGCACAGCATGCAGTGCCATTTGCGGTTGCATGCATTCCTAGATCTCTTTTGCATATATATATGCACGCACTAAATATACCTATTTTTCAGATTTGTACATATATCCAATTGTATAAAAATGTGTATACATATACAATATCTTTATACGTGTGTACTTAAATAAACATTAATACACGTGCATCAACGGATGATATCAGATACAGGTAGTATTGGTATTAAACAAAATATTTCACAAATTCAGCAAAGAAAACTGAAATTGTTTCCACCGAAAATATTTTTGGGTTTCTAAAAATATACATTTTGGAAAGCGATAAAAATTGTAGATTCTAATATGATAAAATAAATACAAACAAATAATGCACACAATTTCATTTCAATAAATGAGTACAAAATGAATTAAGAAATATTTGTATACCAGGAGAGATGATTTAATTGGATTTGTTCGGAATCGTGAAAGGAGCAATTTTAATGTATTTAAATATGAGTTTTCTCAGAAGTACTTAAAAAAATTACAAATCGTCTTTAAATCCCATTTCGAAGCGATTCATGTGGATATAAGTGCGGAAAACCAGTTTTTGTCTGTCTGTCATTTTAATATCAAATAATTTTGATATTAAAAATAGGTTGTAAATACAAATTTGGTGCAAATATTAGGAAAAAAAATTCCTGACATTTATATTGGGGCTACCACCAAATAATAAACCTAAAATATCGAACTATAGTCAATTTACGTAATGAGGGGTTAAATGTGGAATAATCCGAAACCTTAGTCAATGCTGATAGTTTTTATTAATGAAAGATTTTCTATCCAATAAGAATCTAAAAAAGTACCTAAATTGGTGAGGTGCCTTTAAAAGAGGCCTATCCCAAGAAATGGACCCATATTGATTATTTATAGTAAATTGATTGAAAACTGTATTCAAAATTCCAAATATGTGGAGGCAACGTTATATAGGGTAACATCCATACTAAAAAAGTGTGATGTGAATTGATCGATTTCGTCATTTAAAGTTTTTTTTAATCTGAAACAATTGATTCTTATTCTTATCATTGGATCTTAGGAAATTATTTCTAACACTCCGAAATAGAATATCTAAATGTAACAAATACATATGACCAAGATGGTATAAATCATTTGATATTATCTACGATTAGACTAATTTATGTCTTTTAATCTCAAATCTTTAATTTATGATTATTTTCATTTGTAATAAAAATGTCACATAGGTTATTTACCCTTTTTTTCGAAATGAGAAATTTCAATTTTCTTCACACTCAGGTGGTTTGTTTTCGATTTTGTATTTGTAGTTTTATTTCAAATATTTTTTGAAAACATATTTGCAATTCACATTTTCACACCCACTTACCGTACAATACCATACCTTTGCCATAAATCGCCCCCTCTCTTCCGATAAATGTAAGGCCTATTACAAATGAAAACATTCAATTTTTCACAAAATTTCACAAAACTATTTCCCAATAAGGCCAGACGTATGTATTTGTGGGCGATATCTTTAAATAGCATTTCGTCTTGAAAAGTGACGTAGAATTTCTGTGTGTAGAATATTAATTGTGATTCTCGAGGAGTATAGGAAATGTTCAAATCATGCCAAAATTTTCGAATGTTTTTTCATCTCTATTCACAACAACTAGAAAAAAATGATCAGAAGAAAAAAGAAAATTTTACTCGACAATCGATCAAGAGAAGACGATGAAGACGACGACGACTGACTGGCTTATTGACCACATAGCGTTTTACAAATTGTGGCATGTTGTCGTTGGCGGTCTAGTGCCACCGTTGATGATCGTGGCCAACCAAGAGGTGTAAATTTAAAATTAAACGGATTTCAATGCGTCAAATTAGTTTTGTTTTCGTTTTCTTTTTTTCTTATTTTTTGGTTTACCGTCATTGCATTTTCTTTTCTTTCGATTTTTGTTTTGTTTTTTATTTATTCCCAACATGAGGCAGCGCGAGTGAGTGATTAATTGTTGGCCCATAGGCTAATGTGTTTTCGTTTCGTTTGATTTCTTTCCGGTTCCTTAACTTTTGGTGATGGGGCATTTTAATGGCATTGTTGTTGTTTCTTTTTTTCTTTGTTTTTTTTTTTTTTTTTGTAATGGACAATTAATTTCCATTAAAATATTGGTATAAAAACGCAGTTGCCATTCATTACGTTTTTATGTCACCTATTTTTTTATTTATTTCAACATTGTGTACGTGGGCTGTAAATCCACCAGGGTACACATACTGACAAACAACGTCGCAATAATTTTCCTATACACTTGTGCAAATATTTTCAATCCATAATACGTCGCAATATAAACAAGACAAAACAATAACAACAAATGCGATTTTAATGAACATTTTGTTCGTTCGTTCGATCATTCATCATCATTATTATAATCCTCTCGCTGCTTAGTTGTGTTTAGCTTATCTGTCATTTTCTGCAGTGAACATTTTGCGGAATTCTCAAGAATTTCCTATACTGAATGGACAATTGATGTTGTTGATGGCCTTTTATGGTCATTAAATATATCACATTGATTTTTTCAGATATATCAAAATGGTTTAAGTGAAGGAACTACATATTTTGATTTTTTCAAACAAAATTCAACATCTGACAAAGTACACTGACATTTTGAAATTGCCATTTTGGATGGACGATTTGACACCCAATAAAAGCCTAAAATTTTAAATCAAATTAGTGCCTTATATGGTTAAAAATGTCCACAAAATACCGAATAAGAGGGATCCTAACCTAAAACTTAAAGTCAATATTGTTTTTTGGTAGGGAGATTTTCTACTCAAAGAGAATGTGAAATGGCAAATATTTCAATGAATAAATTTTACATATCCTACACGTTGATTTTAAAAATATTTAGAACCGATCGATACTATTTTTAAGGATTTATGTTAAATATTAAGGGACCACCTCCCCCTCCCCTCGACTTTAAATTTTCAAGATATTCAATGGACTGGCAAATCATTACGAAAGCTTGTTAAGGTTTGTAATTTTGCAGATGTATATTTGAAGATTTAAAGGAAAAGAAAAATAATTTACACAAATTTTTGTTATTGTTTTATGGGATTAATAAAAAGTCCTTATTTTTGAGCATGTGAAATGGCAAAAATTCCAACGGTGTTAGAGAGGGTACATGTCAGGCTCTCGTATGAACTACGATTACACTGTGCGACACGAAAATTTTTCAGGGGTTCTAATGTACCAATTCTGTTTAGTTGGAGTCCCTGGATCACGAAAATACCTTTGGTTTTTCTGGGTCACTTCGAAAATTAATTTTATAACGGTATATATAGAGAAAATCGTGGTTTCATGGACTTTCCATTTGAAACTTGAATAACTTATTTACTTTATAACGGATTTATATTATTCTTTTTTTCTTTCGAAGAGTACAATTTTTCCTTTCAAACAAGATATATATTTTGTAAATCGGTTGAGGATTGACTGAGTTACAGCGGTTGAAATGTGAAAAAATACGCATAAAATGGCAACATTTATTTTTCTTCGGACTGTACGATGAAATTATGATATCAAGCCATATAAGTTTTATTATATTATGGGGAAGAAAATTAAATTAGCTTTCGAGAATATGCATATTGATTCTATGCATATTCTCTAAAGGAAATATGGGTCTATCTCATTTCCTTTTGCCTGTTACAAACATAACGGTTTGTAAAAGGAAACGATACAGACCCATATTTCCTTTAGAGAATATGCATATAATCAATACAAAAATGTGTATAAGTCATCCATTTTTTAACCGATTTTTTTGATTTTTATCATTTTCGAAAGCTAATTTTATTTTCTTCCCCATAATATAATAAAACTTATATGGCTTGATATCATAATTTCATCGTACAGTCCGAAGAAAAATAAATTTTGCCATTTTATGCGTATTTTTCACATTTCAACCGCTGTAACTCAGCCAATCCTCAACCGATTTACCAAATATATATCTTGTTTGAAAGATAAAATTCTACACTTCGAATGAAAAAAAAGAATAATAAAAATCCGTTAGAAAGAAAAGAAGTTATACGCGTTTCAAAGTGAAAATCTATGGAACCACGTTTTTTCCTACATTTACCGTTATAAAACAAATTTTCGAAGTGACCCAGAAAAACCAAAGGTATATTCGTGGTCCAGGGACTCCAACTAAACAGTATTGGTACATTAGAACTCCTGAAAAAAATTTTAGTTTTGTTTTGTATCACAGTGTTATTGACTTCGCTCAAAAATCAACAAAATGGCGGACCTTTGGAAAAATATTATTGGGAAATCGCCTATTTTTTACCACAAACCAAGTTAAAAAATAAAAATAAGGATCTTGACCGATTGGATTTATTTGGAATCGATCGGATTATTAGTTTTTGAGTTATCGTGCCCGCCATTCGCAATAACGCTGTTTGGAGAAAAATGCGTTTAAAGACGTCACTTGATGCTAGCACAATAAATCGGCTATATCTTCAAGAGTTGTTGAAAGTAGTGTAGATTCGAATTAAATCAAAATAAAAAAATAAATATTTTGAAACAACATAAATATTTACCTTTTAAATATTTAAATCGCTAAATTAGATTCGAGCGCATTTACAGTCTCTGATTTGTATCCCCATTATGTTTCTCAAATGCTGTTGAAATATTTATTTAACATCTCAATTCATTTTCACTAAAATAAGATTTTATACTGGGAAAAATATAATCCTCGACATGTATTTCACACTTTCCTAAAATTATAACACTGGCAACCACTGTTTTTTCTCCCAACTGTATTATATATAAAATGTCTAAAAATAAATAAAGTGAATTAAAATTTAAATTTGAATTCTTCTTGTTATTACAGGTAAAAACTACACGTGTAACGAAATCCATTAAATCGGGAAGCTCTTCTTCACCAGTTATAGAGACAACTTGTGATATCGAGGAGATCTGGGACGAAGAAATTCTAAAACAATTGGTAAGCATAACAAATAACTAACAGCATGAACACATTAACACCTTTGTTGGAAACAAATTAAACCCTCACTCCCCACTAAATGACTCATCAATAATTTAATTTTCATCAATTGCCCCACATAATGGAAGTTTTCTTAATTAATGAATGATTTACAGTTATTAGTTATAATTTTGAGTGACTGATTGATTGTTATATTAAAATAAAATTTTCACGCTCTCTATCTTTCTTTCAGTTGGAACAAGCTAAAACTTACGAAGAACGCCGTAAAATCAGATCACGTTTGAGGGAACTTATGGCTGACCGTGCAGGTATTTGATTATTTTCCCATTTTTATTGACGTTTTATTATTAACCAAAGTATATAGGTGATGATATTGTAAAAACGCAATTGAAGTTTATTTAAAGCCTGTCGGCTATTTTTATAACTCAACTTTTATGAGTTTTTGAAATGCCTATGGCCAGGATATGACAAATTACCAGATAAATAACGTCATATGGAATGAAAAACGACGCAAAATTTTCTTTAAAAAATCTTTGTGCTAATTCGAAAAAAGAATTGATAACATCGATTGTTTCCACGATTTTGTTGCTATTTACATTTCATATGACGTTAAAAAAACTTCAATTGCATTTTATCAGACCTTTTACAACATTTCTCGCAAGAGAAAGAAAAAAAATGTGCCTTTTATTTCAATCAAAATTTAGGTTGATATTAAAAAAAAATGGTGATGGTATTTAAAATTGGGTATTCCTTTTCAGGTGACTTATACAATTACTTTGATTAAAATTATTTTTACCAAACAAAAAAATTGCAAACTAAATTCCTTTTTTTTCGAAAAAATGTGTTGTTTTTGTATCCTTCATGGAATGAAGGGCACATGTCCAACTTGCGTCGACAACATTTGGCGTTAACATTATGCAAATTATCTTTAAGAATTCCTGGAATATAAGAATATAATGTCCATTGTCCTATTTAACGCCCATGCCCTTGAAATCAATCAACAATGCAACGACAATCTCAATATCGGAATATAAATGTTCGTTAATATGTGGATTCCTCTGTATATTTGCTCCATTCTAGATATTAATTAAAATTCAAATCCAATTGATTTGGCATCGGCGAAATCAGTGAGAGAAAGAGTTTGAGCAAGAATTGAGAGAGCTGTACAGAGAAACCAGGAAAAAAACAAGAAAACTAATTATTATTTTGGCCATAGGTGGTGGTACCCCGCCACTACACCCCACTCACTACAAAGCACACCCCACCCACCCACAATATTTCCATTGTTCGGCACACACACGTACATCCATATTTCGATGTGAACGCGTGTGTGTATGTGGACACGCGTGAGCAAGGTGTGCCTGTGTGCATATTACAATAGTCGTAGGAAAGATGTAAGCATCATCATTGAAAATACTTTTGTTTTAATTATTATTTTCCTGTTTCGTTGTCACTATTTGGATATGTTTCGATCACTGTACTCCTCTCTATTCCAGAGAACCTAGAAAACCAAAAACAAAACAATTCCAAAATCAATCAATCAAACAACCATGTGTGTGTGACGCGTTTCTATCATTCAAATCGTTCGTTCGTAATAATTCGTTAGTCCATTGTTTCGATCACCATAACCACCCACCACAAGTGCCACCCACCACTACCACCAACAACAACACCACGCCACCACCACCATCATCGTCAGCATCGTCACCAACAAGAAAATGTGAATTTCACATTGAATATTTGAAAATCATGTCAAACATTCATCGTTACGTCCGTCCACAAACAAAGAGAATGAGAGCAGGGGATTGAGAGAAAACGAGACCAAGAGCATCATCGGGGAAGGCCTTGCCGATGGCCTTTGTAGATCTCAGACAAATCGCAAAAAACAAACAAAAATCAGACGATCGACGACTACTCGCTCACTCGTTCGCCCCAATACCATCATAAAGCGATCTTCTCAAGATCTCATCATGCTCCTTCTTCTCTATTTTTTCCTTGTTGTTGTTGTTGTTGTGTTATTGTTTTCGTTTGTTATTTTCGCTTTTACAAAATTTTATTTTAATCGTTGGCTCATAAATTTCCTATATTTAGAAAAGAACAGTTGCCAGCAGACAGGCAAAGAAGAAGGAGAATCTGCTTCTGCTGCTGTAGCCGCTGGAAAACGCGTTGAAGAATTGAAATCGCCTGTTCAGAGGAGTGAAAGCAGTGCCAGCAGTGAATACGAAATAATCGAAGAGGAAGTAACCTGTACAGAATCCGAATCGGAAGAGGTTCAGGAAACTGTCACAGAGACCCCCAAAAAGGGGGAGGAACCCAAGAAGAAGACCGAGGAAGTCGAAAAGGAAGAGAAAACATCAGCTACGCCACCAGACGTAGTACCAGCTGAGACTAACAGTTCCGAAGAACAAGTCCAAAAGGTAGAAGCAGAAACAAAGGAATCTGACGTCACAGATTCCGGCAAAGAAACCACTGATAGCTGCCCGGAAAAGGGTGAGTCGTCTGCCATGCCCACGCAACAAGGCTCGATGCACCAACAACAAAATAAAATGATGCAAGTCCATCAGGCAAATAATCAAAAGCTGGCCAGCCAACATAGCAGTAATCCAGCAGCAACCTCTAAACTCAGTAGTGATCGTAGTCAAATGCACGCTCCTTCGAATAACAAACAGAAATCCTCTACGCATCTGGCCAATGGCCAGACTAGCAATCCAACTGTGACAGTGACTGCAGGCAACAACACTATGGTTAGGGATCTAGGTAGTAACTCGTTAGAAGCATTAGGTAGTAACAACAACACTAGCGGTAGTAGTAGTTCCCAAAGACAAGTAGATCGACTAGGTGTGCCTCAGAAGGAAGATTCGGGTACAGAGAGTGGCGAAGATTTGCGTTTCATTGCGGCTGGTCTGCGCGATCAATTGCAAATGAAGAGTGATTCAAACATCATCGACGATGTCACCTGTGCCCTTAGCCGTTTGGAAGCGTCGCTTAAGGAAGGCAAAGACATTTCGGTGGATACGGAAAAACGCAAAGCTCTGTTGGCTTTGGTGGGTCGGCTGCAAGCAGGTCTTACTTCGCCGGAAAAATTGGCTGAAATTGCTGCAGCCATGTCGGAACTCGATGGTCACGACGCTGTCTACGGTGAAACATCGTCACCGGAGGCAGATGCCCATCGATCAAATCGACAACGATTCGCCAAACGTCGCAATCGTATTGATCGCCACACGGTGGGTGTTAGTCGTGAGGAGCTGGCCGATGCCCGACGTTACATGGAGGACATGTTGATAATGGAGAATATTTGCCAAGCCACAACTCCCGAGGCTGCTAATAGCAATTCACCTCCACAATGGTTCCCCCTGGAGAAAAATGCATCCACTGGTTCCATTCTTATGCACAACAATAGCTCGACAATGAGACAAAATAATTTCCTCAACGAGAATTACACGCAAAATTCTGCACCGAGCAACAGCCATCTGCATCCCAACTCCCAAACTGCGGGAAAACGTAGACCAGTATCTGGAGATTTTTCGGTGAGTTTTGGATTGCCTTCAACCGCTTATGAGGATAGTTCAACTGCTCCGCAGACTCTAGTCGATAGACAACAAGCTGCCTATGTTGAGCAGCGCAATGCAGATAACGTCTCCTCCGATACAAATTCAAAGTTCGCCAGATTTACAAATAAGAAGCAGCTTATGAAACGGGCAAACACCATTGATATTGCAAAGACGAAGCGGTTCAATTCGGACATGGATACAGATTCAGATGCCGAAGATAGATCGCACACCATTGGCCTCAAACGCACAGTTCATCCCACCGTCAAGAAGAGAGTGGCAAATGTCGTGCCACCCTTTGAGCCGAAAACGGAAAACGATCGCAAATTCCTGGCCTTCATCAACAAACAAAGTGATAAACCCGGACTGGGTTGGACCAACTCTCGATCCGTGTCGAACTGGACAACTAAATTTGGTTCTTTAAAACACACCTTTGAGGCGGGCGGCAGTGGTACAGTTACAGCCGCCAAGCCCCCACAAATTCCCTCACACATACATCCGAGACCTGCAACACAACAGGTCCACAAACAGCCTCAAGCTCCGGTACAGAACTACATGAGCACCAATCAACAAATTGCTCAACGACTACAACAGGAAGCACAGCGCCAAGCCGAGGAACGTAGAATAAAATTGGAGTACGAACGCATGGAGGCTGAGCGCAGGGAACGTGAAAAATTGGAGATGCTGCGCCAACAGCAACAAAGAGAGCGAATGGAACGAGAACGCTTGGAAAGAGAGTACTACGAACGGGAGATTAGGGAGCGTAATCAACGGGCGGCACAACAAAATGCCGCCCAAATGAATGTTCCCAAACCCATACCAATCAATGAGTTCAAACATGCGCCTCAGTCTGTGTTTAGGCCCATCGACAACGGGGACACTCAGCAAAGAGGTATTTACAAGCCCATACCGCAATTACCTACAGGCCCACATAGTTGGCAAGCTCCCTCAGCTGTCAGTAGCCGATCACATGAACCCTTATCACCCAGTAGCTATGCACCACATACAAGGCCCGATAATTCATTTATCACAACACCTCCGCCATCTTCTAAATCTCCCATTGGTTTGCCATGGACTTCAAAGCCCACTGTGGATTCCAGTAGTTTTAAGAGTAAAGCTAATAAATTTGAAGAACGTTCCAAATACGACAACTACAACAATGGAGCAATGCTACAGAGACACCACTCCCTGAGGACATCTAATGTAAATATGCCTCCAAATGACGATTTTAAGAAAAGACCATCGTTGCCAAACACCAGTGACCCATACGGTGTTCAGCGTAACTATCATCATAATGACTATTCCGCCAATCCTCCTCTATCATACACAGCAACAAATCCTCCATTGTCTTATTCGGCAACGGCTGCTCCGGCACCACCACCACCCACAAATATCTCCTTCGTGTACAATAACCACACCTCGAAGCCAACATACTTGAGCTATCCATGTTTACCCACAGCTGTCATGGAATCGACTGCTACTTATTCTCGTTCTCGCGAGGACTCCCTGACCAATCCACAGGCTGTGCCTTTGGTGTTGACCAGTTCAAACCCATCATACTGTCCTCCACAGCAGCAGCAACAACAACAACTGCAGGCGCAACCCGCTAGGGAGTATATGTCATCATCTACTCTAGATGTGATGAGTCCACCGGACAGTGCTCTCACGAGTCCCAGCATTCCTGCAATGCAACAACACCCACAAACCGATTACACAGACGATGACCTGGACTCAGACAATCTGACAGAGTACAGAGCAGTCAGCAAAGTCATGGCCAAGCCACAATCCCAGACCGCCGTTACAGTTGGCAGGCGTGCGGGCCATGTGAGTGACGATGAAGTGTATGGCAAGAACTCCAAAGCGGCGAAGAGCCTTCTCTCCACAATGAAGAATATTGGCAATAAGTCCAATGGCGATACTAAACGTCCACAGGCCTTGCAAACTACCAAACGTCCAGAGGCAGTAACATCACCACAGACCTGCCTGTCACCAGATGGCCGTGCTTACCAAGCCCCCATGGTAGATCCCATCTTCCCAGATTTGACGAACTTCGAACCGAATCGTAAGCCTTTGTACGAAAGCGGGCCACAGAAACCTCAGGCTACACCAACTCCATATGGTCAGCCCAGAAAACAACCGATGATGTACAAAAGTTTGGAAAATCTAGCTAAACGTGCGCCACCCGCACCACAACAACAGTCGCCCGTGATCATCCAAAGTCAAGCACCCACATACCCTCCTAGACAATGTGCATCTCCTACACCTTATGTGAGTGAAACTCAAACCTCCTATGTAGTCACATATCCCATGGATGATACCACCGATGATGAGGATCAAAGCAGATATTCATCGTACAGCCGCAGTAGCGACGCAGTACCGGTGAGGCGATCAAGGAACACCAGTGAAACGTCAACCATAAGTTCAACAACAACAGCACCGATGGTATATACCAATCATGTACCCTCGCCAAATACCAGTTGGACCACAAATCCTATTAATGAGCCGACCATTGTTTCAGCTGCAGGTCAAACCTACTATGAGTCAGCTCCCACTCAAAACTATGCAAGTCATACAATGACGACCTCGCAAAGCACTATGCAGCAAAAACCATTGCCATCCCAAACGACACCCAAAGTGCCGACCCAATATCAACCATCTTCACCGGCTGCCTATACAAATTCTACGCCAGCTCCTTATCCGTCGACGACAACAACAACAGCACAATACCAATCCACTTCTCAGGTACCACAGCCTTCCCCAACGAAAACAAATTTGACCAATCCACCACAATATCCAACTTCATACCCGTCCAGTCAACAAAACAATAATTACGAAGTATCGCAACCTCAAAAACAACAAATTCCCTCTCAAGTACCCACTAACCAACCAAAAATGTCGGTGGGGCAAACTAGTCAAGCGATATCAGTGCCAGAAAAAACTGCAACCCCAACCAAAACTAAGAAAACGGTAGCATCTTCAGCCTCGAAACTATCCCAGGAGAAGATTAGCACCAAAACTTCTTTGGCTAAGATGAGAAAGTCTGTTAGTGAGGACTACCAGGATGTAAAGAGTGTAACAACAGCCACCAGCAGAAAGGCAAGTATTGGCAAGGAAAATGCCATCAGTCAAGTCGAGCAGCAGAAAATCGAACGTCAAACAACTGACGTTCGCCGCAAAAGCTTGGGAAATACTGTGGAATATCAGAAAATGGAACAACGCCACGTCACTGCCATGGAAAGCCAACAGACAACAGTGCAACCACAGCAACAGATATACAAATCTTCAGCGCCCCCGGATACTCCGGATATTGTAAAATCGTCTCTACCCAAAGACGAAAACCAACCGATTTTGAAAAAGTTCGGACCACCACAGAGACACCATTACACACCGAACTCTTATCAAAACCCTCTGGGCAAAGCCGATACGACATCGACCACAGCGTTAGCCACCTCTAAAACAGAACACCACACTAACAGCGTTAAAGTTACTGCCACAAAATCGATTCTAAAGACATCTGTCAGCACGAAGGCACCCACGGTAATCGAGAAACCTGCTTCCCCAGAACCCGAAGAGGAATACATACCGCGAAATATCGTCTACAATAACATTCATGCCTTCACAGCAATGTCTGCTCGACGCCCCGAGGAGAACAGATCTCACTTTGAGCCCGTGATCAGACCGAATAAGCTCAGTAAGTCCGATTCATGGAATCAAATAGTCAACCTGCAAAATCAAGCATCCGCACAGAAATTCGTTCCATCACCCACACATGAATTGAGACGTACCAAATCTGGTCACACCCTGAGCATACCGAAAATGTACGAGGCTGGTCTGGACAAGACAGAGGTTACAGAAAAACAGAGAACCGTTGCCGCCTACTTCTCCGGCCAGAAGTCACCCGTAAACACTGAACAAACGGTGGTTGAGCAAACCAAAAAGTCGACCATAAATCGCACCAAGACCAGCGAGAAAATTTCAGCCAGTCGCAAATCGATGGGCTCCCACCACACCACAGTCATCCAGCCTAGTGGTGGCCTGACACGCAGTGCCACAATGCCACACATAGCCAATTTACGTTTACTGGACGAAAGCAATGTCGAAGATGCTTTCGAACAGTTGATAATGGGTTCATAGTTAATAGACATAACCAGTTTGTTGTTTCTGCCATTTCTGCCGGCTTTCGGGCATGCCAAAACACAATACATCTCAAGCTTAATCTGAAGAAACTGAAAAGAAACCAGAACCACCAGCCATCATTCCAAAGTGATTATGTTTTAATCACCTCACCTGATGTTGCCATCTTTGCCACCATCTCTAACAGGACGGCAATCCCCGAAAAATCCTCCCTCTTCCACCCACCAGCACATTTGTATAGTTAGTTATAGTTTTTGTTACTTCTTCTTTTTCCCTCCCACCAAGCGTTTTGAATTTCGTTACTCTTTTACGTTTCCTTTTTATTATCATGTGTGATTATGCAACGATGACAACGACGAGACAACCGTGACGAAGTGACAGTGACACTGACTGGCAAGAAGTGAAATATTTCACTATTATATCACAGAAGTTGAGGGACTTCATGATGCTTTTTTATTTTTGTTTAAACAAAAAAATAGAGAATCCTATTTAAAAAAATGTCAACACTTCCGCAAGTCAAGCTAAATGAACGAAAACACAACGCTATTTAAATTACCGTTAAATGTTACTATTTACCAACACAATCACCGTCAACAACAGCCACTACCCTTCCACTATCCAACGATCACAAAACAATAACCACAATCGAAACTTGATCGGTAACTTTTTTATCTGTCGCTGGCACTGACTACAATCCTCGCGTTATCACAATATTCGAGTGGATGAGCAGAAGACTACAAAAACAACAAATAGACCAAGAAAGCCGGCATATGTGTTGCCTTTAAGTTTCCAACAGATACTTGTGAGTCTACCACTTGTGTGAGTCACACACGCCACTTAGTGCCTTTAAATTGTGTAATTGTCCTTCGCGCGCTATTTTCCAATCCAATAATAAATAGTTCAAGCATGAAGTCTCCAATCGATATCGACAGTGTTTATCGTTTGCTTGTTTCAATCGTTAAAAATCGAATGCCCGTAACAACAACTCGTTTTCGCTTCCTATATAACTTTGTTTGTTGGTTAAATTCATTCTCCTTAACATCCGTTAACATATCCAATTGTTGTGTACTATAAATATATGAGTGTGTGTGTGTGGACACAGACCGCCCTGGATGATATACCAATTTGCAAAATTCTGTAAATATGTATTTTTATTCGAAATTGAAATTCGATGTCTGAAATAAAAACAAAAATCTAATAAATTTCCATTTGTTGTGTAATGTAAATGTTTGGATACTTATACGATTTGGTTACAATTCCACTTTTAAGAGTGAATCAAATTTTAAACTCATCTAAGAGTCTAAATCCAATCAAACATTTGATATTTATAATCTTGATTTGAGGTATTTTTAATGTTTATATGTATAACTCCTGATCTGAGGAATATTCGTGCACAAGCATCAATGCGTAAGCAGAACGTCATCATGGTCAAAAATACAAGATTTAAAAGTTTCCTTTATTGACAATATGTCCCTTTGACGAAAAATTCGTTTTACAGAACGAACATATTTCATTCACCAGGTAGTTTCTATTTGTATTAATGAACAAAATCAAAGTTCAGTAAAATCAGATTAAACCCGGTTATTTCCTAAAATAGCACATCAAAGTCAATAAAGGTCCAAATTGTTTTTTGTTAAACTGATATAACTGAAAACTGCTTCACATATTCTAAATCAGTTATAAAGCATCACCAAAATGTATTCATCTTAACACTATTTCACATAGAAGTCGACAATTTTTTCTCTTATCTCACAAATAGTTAAATATTTTATTTGAATTGTAGGATATACAATTAGGATTTGGATTTTCTTCACCTGGCCAGCATTTACATACACAACAAATGAAAAATCCTTGAAACTATTAAATTATGCTTTTGCGTTTTAATATTTAGAATATTAGAGCTTAAATAAAAATTAAACTCGATCGAATTAACCAATAAACCACATGATGTCCCTCCTTCTGTTGAAAAAAATCGTTTGTACATATTAGAATCCTTCAACGACACCATTAGCCAACAACTGCAAAGCTGCCAACGCAATCAATAAAACCAACACCCTGACGACGACAACTGTTTTTGTAAATATTTTCCAAACCATCTGAACTGATTTGACATTAAAAAAAATCTAACTTTGTTTTTCGAACGATCGGCCAAAAATGCTTCGCATGAGTTTTAATTCCGAATTTATGATTTTGGTTTAGGGAATGAATTTTCAGATCCATTATGATGTTTTTTTTTTTTTTTGTTATTTTTCTGTTCTTCGTTTTTATTTCGCATGATCCGTTTACTGACGAATGGAGTTATAAAGAATGTCATTAAGAACTAATGCTCCAATGAAATTATGTAAATATTTCAATTTCGAAAAGCTGTGTTCCAAAAATGAGTTCTTCATAAACCTATTCTAGCAGTTCAATACACCAGAAAGTGCTACCCTTTTCAAAGTAGTGGCTTATTTTTGCTAACACCTTGCAAGTATGCAAATATTTCGAATCCAGGCTGTATATATATTTATTTGTAGATTTGATTCAATGTTTTATTTGTTTATTTTTTTGTTTTTATTATGAATTATCTTAAGTTATGCATTTAATTTTTTGCATGTTATTCTTTTCATTTATTTTACGTGTCATTATCGGGTATACACTCCCGTCGCCAAACTTTTCTCTATTTCTTTATTTTTCCCTTCATTACTGAAGCATTTGCATTCTCTACATATTTATTCACAGATGCAAAACCACAACAGTCTTGCACATCGACAACCGAAAAAACCGAAACGAAGGGTAAAGATGGAGCTGTTGTAACAACAACTACTAAAGGTAAGTGAAATCATTTATCCTTTCCCAAAACATCATAGCATCTGGCATTTTTGTCGCGGAGGGAAACCAGTAGTCTAGAAGAAATATGGATCCTACTTATAAGGGGGTTAGAAATAAAAAAAACACCTGGTTGTGTTGGAAAATTATTTCGGCACCAAATATTTAAACACTTCTTTCTTTTCGTTTCGTTCCCTCTTCTTGCAGTTACAACTCGTACCGTTAGCGGAACAGGACCTAAACCAGTTTCAGCATTTGCCAAATTCAAGCAATTGGATAGACAAAATTCTCAACAATCCGCTAAGTAAGTGAATCATTCAAATATCCATTATTTATTGCAAACATACATTCATACATATACCAACAAATATTTTGTATTACAGTATGGACTCTTAAGTGAAAATTTCATTCCAACTCCCAAAAGCTGGTAATGAAAACCAAATGAAATATAATATCGCAAAACCTAATCTGCTGCTTATTCGTTCTGAAACCTCTTTTCCGCTTGGTTCAGAATTTCAAACTTTTAATCTTGGACAAACTATAAAACCCCGAATTTTATAGTCATAGGCTAGATTAGAAGACTTTTTACGGTTGTGATACTTTTTATTACTTTCGGAAAATATAATTCCAATATATTCGCCCATGTGCTGCATTTCGAGTTTGCTCGAATGTGGAACATTTTCCCAAATTTGTTGTGCTCCATTCCGAAAAAATATTGGGAATATAATTCGAGCACATATAGCCTTGTGGATTGAAAACGAAATGAGATCGTACGTGTTTTTCTGAACACGTACAAGTTGAAAAAGAACGCTGAAGTAATATTTAACGTGTTTTTACAATATTTATTTAAAAAATACAGTATTTACATTAGTTTTTATAGTAAAATTAAAGAAAATAAAAAAGGGCTCCTCCAGGTCTGCAGCTGTCCACAGCTTGCACACACTTTGTCTTCCAGGACTTTCATTACTCTCCACAATATTTTACACATTGTTGTGCGATGAAATCATTTGCCACTACCCTCTGAAATCCACCAACAGCCAGGAATCTTAAGGTAGCTGCTAACTGCAGGCTTTCGGGAATGGTACCCTTGTGTATGAAAGGACCAACTTCTCTCAAAAATCCATAAATGCTTATTTTAACACGTTCCAGTATCATTAGACTTTTTCTGGTAGAAACCAGGGCAATTTTGTTGTTAAACAAATTGCAAATTCCAATGATACATGCGTTTTTTTACTGAACACATTTCGTAACATATTGAACACAGCTATGCTTTCGAGCCGCACTTTCGCTCGAAATTGAGCACACCATTTCGCACAACATGGGAATTTAAAAAAGTATGGAAATTCAAAAACGTCTATTAATTCGGTTTCATTACATGAGGTATTGTTAAAGAATACTATTTCAATTCCAACACATTACGAGTTCATGCTGTTACAAATACAAAAAATAAATCATTTATATTAATCTGTAGATCGATCCATTACATACATATTTTCTATACAGGTGGTTTGGTAATATTAATTTTAAATTATTTCATTTTATATAATGATTAAAATGTAGAAATTCAACTTTTTAAAATAATTATTAAAATATGTATATTTTAATTAATTAAAAAACAATTTATACATACACACAATTTATACATAATAACAACATTGTATACATATATACAAAGTATATAAATATTTACACATATACTACAAAAACAACAATTGATGCAGTAGATAGATCTGCGGCTATCCTCAACTTTCTCTCTATCCGTTCACTTATTTTTTCCCCTTATTTCACAAGACTTTTTTTCTAATCTCGGAAAACAACATTTTGTAGTAGAAATCTACACGATTAAAAAACCATTTGTAGAGTTATTTATTTAACCTCCTCTCTCTCTGTCTGTCTATTTGTTAAAGTCAGCAATTAAACAGAACCGCCAATCAAAAAAATGTTCGTTAACAAGAATTTTGTTTTAGTTCTTATAATAAATTAAATTTATAATATTAATTGAAAAATTCGAATAAAACTAAATCGTTTGTTGTTCAGATCTCCAACAACACCCACAACACCGGGTGGAGGCTCTTCAGCCTCACCATCTGCTACCGGTAATGCACCGATATTCAGATTTACCGATCCTTCATTAAATGCACGTGCCGCCACTGCTAAGGAACAGCTTCTACAGTGGTGTCAATCGAAAACAAAGGAATACGAGGTATACAAATAATACAAACTTTTCTAAAACCTTTTATTAATTTTTGAGAGAAAATCGAGAGTTGAATCCAAAAAGCGACTTACCCTAATAACTCCATCTCTCAAAATAAAATGAGTGTTGTTTTATTTTCGTTTTTTTTTTAATTTCTTCTAATATTTACTTCCACTTATTTCAATTGATGTTAATTTTATAAATCTGTTTTTCCAATATATATTTGCTCAGACCAAATACTACTTAACGCAAATCTATCTGCTCAGTTAACAAGAAAACGCCCAATGCCGCCAATGCTTACTAAATTCATACATGAATTAATTACAAAAAAACTATGCTTCAAATAATTAAACTATGCTTCAAATAATTAAACAACAACAGCAGCAGCTTATTTGAACAAATCTATAAAATATTGGTATTTGAAATAAAGCTTGTGTATATATGTTCCCATTATATATTTATTGTTAAACAATCTTGCATGTCAGATATATTAATTATTATTCCAGTATGTAAACGTAAACAGATGTACTCAAATATTTGAAATATATAAATAATGGTTATGGAGCCTCCAAATATGGAAGTGGATTCTTTTTCCAGGAAATTAAAAAAAAATCTTTATAAACTTTTTTCACTTTTATGATTTTTTTCCAACATAAATTTGTTTAAACAAGAATTGAGGCCTTAATATCTGGAAAAACCTTGGAAATTGATACAAAAATCTTAATTCCTTGTAATTTTGGGCTTAGCTGACTATTTGACTACACTCAATATTTGCATTACATACTGGACAGCTATAAAATTTTGTTATATAAATCTAACATCTTATTCTTGTTATTGTATTTTTGTTATTAATTATTCTTTCTGTTTATTTTTTACAAATTATTTGTTTTTAGAATGTCCAAATAACCAACTTTAGTTCGTCCTGGGTCGATGGTTTAGCATTTTGTGCCCTGATACATCATTTCTTGCCAGATGCCTTCGATTATAGTAAACTAACTCCACAAAATAGAAGAGAAAATTTCGAATTAGCTTTCACAGTGGCTGAGTAAGTATAAATATTTTGAAAAATGATTTTTAAAATAAATACAAACGATATTTTGCTATTGCAGTGAGAAAGCCGGCATAGCCCCCTTATTAGATGTTGAAGATATGGTTGTGATGAAACGACCCGACTGGAAATGTGTCTTTGTTTATGTGCAAAGCATCTATCGCCGTTTTCGAAATTGCCAATAATCAATTTTCAGCACTCACTCAATTAAAACCTCAACAAGAACAAATTTGTTTATTTATTTCTTCCCCATCTACTACTAATAATAAATAATTTTTTTCTATTAAAGACCTTAACCATCCCACGTAAATAAATACTTTCTTTGTTTGGTTAAAGTCCACACTTTCTAATGTTTGTATCAGGTCAAGTGATGAGTAGAGTAGTGTTCAGTACTTTGTATTTGTTTTGTTAAAGAAAGAAAAGAAAATATGTTTGTCCTTCCCAATGTGTAATGGACTCGTATAATTTGTTGTTATTTGTATTTTATTTTTTAAATTAAAAAAACCTAAGGGATATCCAACGGGCAATATTTCTAAAGAAATGATTCAATTATAAGGCCACTGTTGGTATTCAGCACCAAAATCACCAAAACTATTCAGGTGATTAATTGTGTTTTATGAATAAAAATGAATGTCGATAATTCATAAAATTTTAATTTTTTTAGATACTCATAATATTGTAATTATTAATTCTATATATACATTTAAACAGAAGAAGCAATATGTATGTATTTCTACTCACGTTTTATCATTTTCTATTACTAACATCTTATATAAAAAACAAGAAAAAACTATATATCATCAATTAAAACATATTTCTTATCTACCAATTTCAGTGATATTACATTTGATTTTGTTTCTGTTTGTTGAACACGAATTTAATATGAACATACATATCTATTTTTTAAGAATCCAAAACGTAACGAATATTTTATTTTTTTGTTTTAACTGAAATCAGGTTTGCCCATTAAAAACAGCTCAATTTTCTTTATTCTACTATTATTATTATGTATTTTTTTAAACGATATATTGAACTAATGTTTTAAACTTTAAGAATGAGAATGAATAAAATATTAACATTCAATGCGAAATATTATTATGTGTTTTAATTATTTGTTAAATGGCCATTCATACTATATACGTAGGTATAACAAATCCTATAGTAGTGTTGGGTTATGTCAACGTCTAAACAACAAATCGTTTAATTCAATATAAATAAAAAATATAAAACTTTCATAGTAAATTTTTAAAACGCAAGTAAGCAAAATCATTATTTTAAATTAATTTTTTAAATGGTTAGATATTTAATAGCAGAAATACCTAATTTGGTCAGATTAGGTTGATTCTCTTTTCTATTGGAAAAATCCATCCAATGAATAAGTAAAAAACAAATTTTTAGAAAAGTACACAACACAGTTCGATTTCATTTAGCCAATTTATTAAAGTTTATATTCTTTTTTTCAATATTAATTTTTTGCGAGTAGTTTTTCCACCATTAAATTCGGTATTGTAAAAACGAGTATTCGCACCTTATGGTATAAATAAAAAATAGAAATACCTATAAAAACTAAGGAAAGAACGATGGTTGAGCGTAACCGACTGTATTGTTATTATTCACTTTTAAGTTATACCACTTTGGGAATATCCCAATTCTCTTTTACATGAAATCGGACAAAATAATATATGGCATCAATATATGAATGTGAACTGATTTAAGTTGAAATTGGCAAAAATAGAAATACCTATAAAAACTAAGGAAAGAACAATGGTTGAGCGTAACCGACTGTATTGTTATTATTCACTTTTAATCGGACAAAATAATATATGGCATCAATATATGAATGTGAACTGATTTAAGTTGAAATTGGGAAAAATAGAAATACCTATAAAAACTAAGGAAAGAACAATGGTAAAAGTGTAATGACTGTATTGTTACATTTTACATTTTTTTTACAAACTTTTACTGCTATATAAAGTTTTCCTTTATGATAACGAACAGATATATTCTTGTTCATCATATTGATGAGTGTCCTTTAACTTAATGCTGGAACTTCCTTGGAGCATATTTTACATCAAAACGGCCTAAGCTTTATTAATTTAGTTATTTATTTGTCCCATTCTCTCCAAGGACCATTCAGTATCCCGAGTGCATTATTCTACTACATAGTATGCCAATACTGGCGGCAATTTAGAAAAAAAAATTAAAAGAAATTTTCGATCGCGTAGCCGAATTTTCCTTCTGTCCATAGAAGAATGACTTAAATACCCGGCCGAAGGCTGGTTATATTAGAAAATTTTTGATATAAAAGGAAAGCATAGCCAAATTTTCCACCTGTCCATATGAGAAAGTCTTAAATCCCCGACTGAAGGCCGGGTTTGTTTATAAATTTCAATTAAGACGAATTTAAGTGAAATTATAATTTGTACGCTTTATATCTATACCAATATTACCTTCATTGGTCCATAAATGATGCTAATGTTGAAAATACCTCATTGACAAAATGCAAAATTTTTGCTGAATAAATGTAGTCGTCATAACTCTTGCATATAAATTCGTCTGAACATAAATTTTGAACACATGCAACGCAATGCAGTCCATTTTCGGTTCTATACAAATCCTGGTCTTCTTGGTCCTATGGAAAATTATTCTACTTATAGGTTTGTAGTTTTTCAATTGGATATATGTTCGGTGGGCACGAGGTGCTACACACTCGTCTGAACAAGTGTGCCATGTCTAGTCAAATTTAATATTTCTATAGAGGGTATGCGGACCAGGAAATTGCAAACAATTTACATTCAGTGTGCCTAAGTACGGCATGACATAAATATAAGAAAAAGATTTTAGCTTATGCTTAACAAAATCATATTTGTAATACTTACCTTTAAAATATTTTTAATACGACATCTTATTGGCTATGATACGATTCATGGCAAATCAAGAAATGTAATTTGAATGATTCGAAGTCCAACTTCTTGGAATTGTGGATTTTCGGCAAATATGTGAAGGCCTTCGTGGTCAGTACTACAGCCCAACATTTCCAAATACCAGACAATAATTAATATAATTTGGTTATGTTCATTAGTATGTATTTATGTACATTGTTGTCCTTATATTTTATGGCTAGCCAGTATCGCTAAACACGATCTAAAAAGATGTATTTATTGTCAAAAAACAATAAAACAAAGAGAACACACGAATCTCTACCTTTATAACTTTTGCAATTCAATAAAACAACTTTTAGGCAGGATTTAAAGGATCAGTCATTACTTTTCACTTAATGAATAAATAACACAGCACAAACACAGCAAATTAAACACGCATAAGCAAAACTTTTTCTAACCGTTTAAAATGTCACACTCAGTGATGTTTTCTCTGTGACTGCTGTTAGGGTTGCCATTCCTCCAATAGCAATGTTGACATGTAAATAATCGTTATCGATAGTAAATGACCACTAAACGAATTATAGAACCCTAACCAAAAAGAAAAAAAAACGACATTTCACAATACCAACGAAACAAAGACGGCGGAGACGCTTTTCTTGATTTTCTCAGTGAAAAGTTGAACGTTGACGGTTGGTTGAATTCTCAATTGAAACTCAGAGGAATTAAAGTGTTTTTCAAATAATAATAAGTGCGTGTTTTGAACAAGGATTGCGAAAGGAAACGTACGCGATTGACAAATTCCAATCGAATAGACGGCAGACAGCATACAGTTGTTGGGGTTTCTGATTGTGTTTTTGTTCGTTTGTCGTTCATTGATTTGTTTTGTTGTTCTTTTCGTTGTGTGCTTCCCCACCAGAATCCGAATCCCAATCCAATCATGGAGAATGTGGGAACGAAACGTGAAACTCTTTACGACCGCTGTCTCTGCTGTTTTGTTTCCAAGCTCAGCTATAGGTCCCAGTCCGTGGCAGCAGTCCAGCAGCTCCGTTACCTGCCTCCCAGTGTGCTAATAGACATTTATGTATTGGTAAGACACATTTTATCCATATTAATAAACATACATCTCAAGGTTATATTTACCAATTTGTCGATATGTTGCGACGTTGTCATGTACGTACATACACACAATAACAACAACAACACCAACTATTAACTTGAAGACCATTTTTGGCAAAAGCAGAAAAAATTAATTTCCCATTTACATATTGAAGGATGGCTGTATGGTTTAGGGTCATATGGGAATGGGATATTGTGAGCGTGTGTATGGGTGTGCTGAAGCAGTTCCGTACGTGACTATAGGTATTTATTGCGAACAACATACAGGTGATCCCAAAAATAAACAAAACAAGTTTGTTTAGATTTGCATTGTCTTCAGGTGATAATCTCCCATTTACTTATTTGCAGAATCATTGCCCTTCTTGCTTATTGCATAATATACAGATATCGTAGAACTAAATGTTTATCCAAATGGGAATTCAAAAACGCCCTTTCTATTACTTTCTAACACAAAAAAAGATGAAAAGAAAATAAATTTCGCCTCATCTACAATGATCGAAAATCACATGACAAAAGAATTGGTCGCCCCCTGTAGTAGCATAAAGTTCTTAATTGATATGTAATTAGGATGAAAAGATGCCATTGTGTATTGCGTGCCATTATTTATTCGCCTGTGCTTCCATTCGTAGAAGAATCTTTTTATCAGTTGATTTAAATGCCATTGATCCGTTGTCCAGTACAGTTCACTGCTGGTTGGTATTCAACATCATCATCGTCGTTTCTTTTTATAAACTTTTTATTGTTATGTCTACAAGTGCAAAAAAATATAATAATAAAATGAAAAGAAGCAACAAATAACCGCACAAGTTATATCTATAGAACAACTTTGATGTTCTCTATCAAACGGCAGTCTGGGCTTAGCAGACCGTCGTCGTACTGATAGGTCGTCGAAAGCTTGTCCAAAAGTCATTGTTTGCTTCTTATATTTTGGCTTTTTTCTGTTTTTTGTTTATTAAATTAATTTGATTTGAATTCTTATTTTGTATTGGGATAGGTCAAGGCATACACATGTATTCTTGTGTTCATCATTAATGGTTATAGAGATCTATGTTCCTTAAAATGGAATAGTGGCCTGAAAAGAGTCATAATGTAGTACCTATATGCCTCTGAAATGTCTATATAAAAATTCGTTCTTATTGATATGTTGTTGTTGTAGATTCATGTAGCACGTTGATTCATCGAAATTTCATTTCGTTTTTGTCAATTATTTTAGAAAAACAAAGTAATTTTCCGCCCAATTAAATTATTTTTTAATGATCAATGTCCGAACATATTATTTATATATTTTATACATATCCTTATTAAATCACGAATATGCAAGATAAAAAGATAATCCATCATCAGCGTCATATTTTTTTCTACATACAAAAACAAGAAAAACCTTCGAATTATTATTGATTGTTTTTTTACAATAATAGCAAAAATTATCGTCATTGTCCATTTACAATATCAGGCCAATATTGATTGTAATACAAATATTTGGGTGTTCTATTTACCATTCATGTCTGACACCCACAGAACACTTATAGTCGCTGTTTATTTAGCATGTAGTATATGATTGGTGAGAGAAGGGGTCAAGATTATTGAAACAATGTCACAAATTTCTATTCGGCGTAAATGTTACTCGTAAGGCGTGTGCAAACTACATCAAATCAATGTGAATGAAAATCAAGGCCTTGCACTGTTTCTTTGTTACTATGTTGAATTGTTTTGCGAGTAATATTTATTTATTAAATTGATTCCATTCAGTAATACTTAAGCCTCCAAGGCCAATAAATAGTATTGACCATAACATAATGTCCTTGTAAACTAATACAAATAAATGGTAAAGACAAAACATTGATTTCCCACCGGACATTTTCTTATAATCAGAGTATTATTTTTGCCGTTATTGTTCCTATACGCTGATGTTAAGTTTCCATATTGCCTTCTAATCTATTTCTCTTTTGCAATTACAGATGTCCCAACGAGAAGATCTGAAGCATATGCTGTTTGAACAAATGGCCGATTTGCAGATTTTTGAACGTCTTTTGCGTTTTGATCCGGCCCGTCAGAAACTATTTCTTTGTCTAGCCACATTGATAAGTAGAGGGAAACAGTTGGCCAAGGAATTAGAGCAAACATTTATTCAACGTTATGCCGCGCCATCAACATCGTCATCAACAAGAACACACGTTCAACAACAAACAACTAAGACTGCTTCCAAATTGGCTAAATTGGCCAAAGCAAAACTAACTGTATCAACTTCCACACCGTCAACATCATCAACTCTATTGTCTCCGCCTCATACTGATGATGACTCAGTAGATGAGGAAGCAATAATAGAGGCTGCTGATTCTTTGGCACTGTCATCCGATGATAATGAATATAACTTTGGTCTGGATGTTATCGATTTTGGTTTACGTTTAGGATCATTTCTTTCGGAAGCCGGTTGGCTGTCGGAAAGTATAGCCATACTACAAGTTGTTGCCAACCGTCTGAGAAAAATGGAACCCACAAAGAAAATAAAAATCATCTATTTGGACTGTTTACAGAGGTATTTGAATATTAGGTTATAAATTTGACTATTTCATGTAAACTGTCCCCAATTTAGACTTTTACATTCAGAATCCTGCTCCAGTAATTTCAAATCAGCCGAACGCACATTTGATATCATGATGGAATTACTCAAAGAAATCGACCAAGATGAAATTCCCAAGCCGCTATTGGCAAACACCCATACACAAATTTCGGAAATGTATTTTGCACGCAATGAATACGATGACAGTCATATGTGGAGTGTAGTCGCTATGCGCAATTTAGAGGAAACTACACCAGAACGGTAAATAGTGGAAACCAACCCCCCCACACACTCACACAAATTGATCTTGCAAAGCCAAAAAATTTTGTGTCTAATTGACTTTCATTGTTTTGTTCATCTAGTATTGCCATTGATGTTCTAAGACAGGCAGCCAAGGCTTGTGTGGTGAAACGTGATTATCAACGAGCAAATATTTTAATTTGTCAAGCTAAAAGTAGAGCGAAGTAAATTCACATTTATCAATCTAACTAAACCGAATGCGATATCTAAATTGTTATTTTTTCCCTCGTTTCGTTTATAGAAAAACATTTGGTGCTAATCATCAAAAGTATGCCGACACATTACTGGACTATGGTTTCTTTTTGCTAAATGTCGATTCACCCTATCAGAGTGTAAATGTCTACAAGGAAGCCTTAGATATCAAACGTTGCGTCTTTGGCAATCGTAACTTCCATGTAGCCATGGCTCATGAGGATTTATCCTATGCCTATTATGTCCACGAATATAGCACGGGCAATTTTACATGTGCCCGTGACCATATTGAGAAATCCGTAGATATTTTAAAACATTTGGTGCCACAAAATCACTTGAAACTGGCTTCCGCGAAACGAGTTAAAGCATTGTTGCTGGAAGAGATTGCCTTGGATAAAATGGCTGAGGGTGTCGATGACGAGGGACTATTAAAACAATCTGAAGAGTTGCACAAGTTCGCATTGCAATTATCATTGGAAGTTTTCGGCGAAGAAAATGTACAGACTGCAAAATTATATGGCAATTTGGGTAGACTTTATCAAACCATGAATCGATTTGAGGAAGCCGAACGTATGCATCAGAAAGCAATTAAAATAAAAACCGACCTGTTGGGACCTTACGATTATGAAGTTGGTCTATCCATAGGACATCTTGCATCTTTATATAATTATCAAATGAAGAAGTATAGGGAAGCGGAGGAATTATATTTACGCAGCATTGAAATCAGTAAGTATTCGTTGATTATAAATAAGGTCCGTGAATAAAAGTACTTGTATTAACATTTTTGTGCAGGTTTACGCTTATTTGGTCGTTCATATTCTGGCCTTGAATATGATTATTTGGGGCTGTGTCACGTCTATGAGACATTGCGAGAATACGAAAAATATTTACAATATGCACATATTTTGGAAAACTGGCAAATTTTACGCGGTCAAAATCTAACAATGAATGTATGTGCCCATGTATTGTATTCACTTTAGCACACATTAACTAATTGTCGTTTATTATTAATTATTTTAGAAAACAATTTATCCTGCTATTAACGAAGACTGTTCCCTGGAGGAGATTAAACAACAATTTTTCAATATGTGCAACCATAACTTAACACCATGCAATTAAACAAACAACAAAAACTAACAGAGAGTATGGAATATTTTTATGTGTGCTGTTGTAACAACATTATTGTGTCTACTTAATATATTAGGGATTTTACATATACATACATATATATTATAATTATTATTGATAGAGACAAAAATGTAAATTAAGGTAACTCATGCAATATGTAATTTTTTGTTTTGTTCTTTCGTTGTTTCCTTCGTTCTTATGTGTTTAATTTCTGTTTTGTTAACAACAAAAACAACAAGAAAAAAATCAGACAACACAAGTATAAAAAAATAAGCATAATAATTTAGTGATTACTAATTAACAACAATAATGCATATCGTGAATTTTAATACTTGAAATACCAACAAACAAAGAAACATATAAATGTATATATCCAAGTCTGGTGTATGATTGGATTACAAATGCACTAGTTATTTACCTTTGCCGCTTAATTATTCTTATTAAATTGTGTTATTGCGTATCCGACTGCGTCCATCTATTTAAAAGCACAGCAATGTTGTTATTCATTATCAGATCAGCGAAATTCACTCTTTCTTTATTCTAAATTGTCGCATCGTGCAAAATGTAAAATATTTATTTATATACAAATACAATATAGTTTTTATACAAATAAGTAACAATTATGCCAACTAGAAAAAAAGATGAAGCATTAAGAATAGAAATGAAATTATGGAAATTATCATACAATGAAACAATAGATTGGATTTTAATATCTCACTCAGATTCCTTGGTGTCAATTTACAATAATTACACCCTCGCTTCCTCCTCCCGTTTAATAAGGTGTGTAACATTTCAATAACAATAGTGAGTATAATAACTGTTTTAAGACTGCTTTATATGGTTTTCTCTTTTTTTATTTTGTATTATGTTATAAAAACAACAATCCCAGTACATAGTAGTAGCGGTAGACAACAACAATCTCATATATTGTGTACATCAGTATTTCATAGAAAAAAAAACTCCCACAGTTCAAAATGATGTCCGCCATACTATTATTAAACAATTTTGTCATTTCTATAATTTGTGTTCTTTTTTAACATTACCACAATATTATGTTTTGTTTTGCATCGAATTGAAGATGATTTAAGTATTTTGTAGAACAAAAAAAAAAAAACAGAGTGCTGTTCAATTGCGTTTATTTTCGAATTTTTTTTATTTACATCTTTTAAGTTTTTATTCTTTAATAATACTAAAAACAAACAAAAATCTGATTTTATATAGTTATGTATGTTTTTAAGTATAGAAATTTATGGGTTCATAGGCTAAATTAAATTTGCTACATATTTTACAAATCTAAACACATTTTGATTATTTGAAAATAAAGTGAAACATACCATACCATAATGTACCATAACTATAAGAAATATATGTGTATATATATGTTTCAAATATGACTATATAGTAAAGTAGATAAGCGTATTTGAATGCTTTGAACTATTTACTTACATGTTTTTTATTTTATTTGCTTATATTCTGTTTTCTTTTTTATTTTGATAAATTGTTTTATTACATATATACATATACATATGAATGTCATTGCCGTTGTTTTATTTAGTTGTGTAGTAGTAGTAACAGCAACATACACTTTTGGTTGCTATATGTGGTTGGGGTATAGATCGGAGTTGGTGGCATATGTTATATATGTAATATCATTAGCTCCCATATGATAATAAACTAAAATTTTGTACATAACATTCAAATATCATAAATAAAATATGTAACAATGCGGGGTTCACAATGTAGTAATGTAGAGTACATAATGAACGTCTTGAGATCTAACACGAACGAAAATTGAAAGTGTAGAAATTTCATTACCTCTAAATAATTTTAACGCCACCGCAATAATTGTTACACATATGGCGGTAACACATCCTATATGCATCCAGAGCGACAATATTTTAGTGTGTGTGGGTTTGTCAGGGACCAGGTAAGCCAAAGTCGTATTTAGATAAGTGACGCTACGGAGAAATGTGCAAAGAGGGACAACATGTGTCATTATTTATTTTTGTTCTTGGCATAAAAACTAAACATCTTTATTATGGAAGGCGATGTCCTAATAGTTTTAGGTATGTATTATGTAAAAATCGATTAAGTTTGGCCACTGAGTTATTTGCACTTGATTATAACGATGTTCCTAAAAATATTACCTAAAAATATCATCATTCAAGAAAACTGTTATTTTCCATTAATGTGGCAACTCTGTCAATTGTACTGAACACAATAAGATGGAGAATGTACTAAGCTATGAATACACATTTGAACTATTTCTGTGTCATTACGCATTCAAAAGGTCTAACAAATCTAAGATTCCAGTGAATATACCCTTCACCACTCTGTTGTACAGGGCCTTTGTGCATATGTTTGTAACATACATAAGGAAACGATATAGACACATGGTTCCTTTTGAGAATATGCATAAAATCCATTTCTGAGTCGATTTTGCATGATTTGCATGTCCGTCCGCCCGTTTGTCCATGTATTCTTGTGAACAAAATACATTTTGCATTTATGATCCGAATAAGATAAAATTTAGCACATATCACTTATTTGGTCCAAGGACGAACCCTATTGAAATTGGAAAAAATCGGTTCAGATTTAGATATATCTCCAATATATTTTGCATATCGTATTGAATTTAAGGTGGAATAACTTGTGTTAAATTTTGTAGAAATCGGCTTAGGTTGAGCCTAATTTTTTAATATCGTTTTGAATTGGCTGTGGAATAACTTTTGTAGAAATCGGTTCAGATTTAGATATATCTACCATATATATTTTTGTCCGATTTTAGGTAAATTGAGCACTAAACTCCTAAATTGCATCCAATTGTATCGAAATTTTGAATATCGTGTTAAATTTTGTAAAAATCGGTTCAGATTTAGATATAGCTCCAATATATAATTACGTCCGATTTTAGGTAAATTGTGCACCAAACTCCTCATGTTTGTCAGATGACAGCGTATCATATTGTGCCTAGAATGACGTTATTGTGTTTTGTAGAAATTGGTGCAGTGGCAGACATATTTAGCTCCTATATATTCTTTCGACTGATTTCTTTTTCACTCTCTAAATTTGGCAGCACTGGCAATTACTTGTCATCAGCGCCATCTATTGAATGGTTTAATCCAAAAATCGATTATGCAAAATTTAAACCTCATTTGTTTTTCCTATAACTGTTGATCTATTGAAATTGTAAAATAAATACATTTTTAAAATACCATATTACAGAATAAAAAAATAGGGTTTGTACGTCTGTCGTCGCAACATGGCAACTCTATCAATCCATCTTTGATACAATCAAATAGTGTATGTTATAAGCTATTAAAGTTAGTTATGAAAAATAAAAGAAAAAACGGTGATTTTCTCTACATTTGGCAGCACTGGCAAACACTTGCCGTCAGAGACATCTATTGAATGGGTAGATTCAAAGATGGATTATGTAAAATTTAAACCTCATTTATTTTTCCCAAAACTTTTGACCTACTGTAGATATTTAAATAAAATTGGTGTCATATGAAATATGCATAATTTCTTGTAAAATAATAATCTTAATTATTTAATATGACATGCAGTATTAAAGTTTTTCTCGGTAATATTTGGCCATAGTAAAGGAAGATTATTTACTCTTTCGTATGACACCATCTTTTGTTGACATTCGATTATCTCTTCAAAAGTTATGGGCTTGGAAGGTTGTACTCTAAAAAACGGCTTCGCATGATTTCAACCTTATCTATCAATAGATGGCGCTGATGACGGAGTTTATATAAATTGCATTGCTCATTTAAATTTTGTCATATGAAACGTATAGTCGTATATTTTCTTGTGAAATAAAAAAACATTTCAAAATCAATTGGGTATTAATATGAAATTGGAGTTTCAATATTTGGTTTATAAACTTTGGAATATTATTCCATATGGTACGGGAGGAATGAGTGAACCGATGGATCCCAACTTCGAATTTGATTTAAGTTTGAAAGAATTATTACGATGCGTGTAATTTGCATCAAATTAGACATTCCATACAATAGTTATTGGATTAAAAAAATTTCCAAATTTGGACCATTTTGTGAGGAGGTACTAGAAGGAATGCGCCGATAAGTCCTATCATTCTATATTATACAGGCCTGGTAAAAATTTTAGGCTCTGCAAAGTTTGGTTTATGGTTGGATAGTATATGATATTTCAAAATTAAATGTTGACAAGTTTGTGTGGGAAATACCAGAAGGGGTCCACCGATGTTCCCCATCATCAAATTTGATTTAAGTTTGGAAGAAATATTACGGTATGGAAAGTATTGTTAAAATTGATTATTCCCATTTTTGGTTAGAAATATATGTATATGGGAAATTAAAAAATTCTTTTAAAATTCCATAAAAAAAATTTGAAAAATTTTTTTGCGAGCACATTCATGATTTTTGGTACATAGGTTAAGAAAAATATGCTGATTCGAAATATGTACGCTTTCACAAATTCGGATGCTGCGCACAAAAATTATAGCGATTTTAAACCTTGTATTTCAAATATAAATTACATTAATTCCTATTTGTTGTAATTCGCGAATTTTTTCACAAATTGTTAAACACATTTGTTTTCTTTGCAGTACTAGTCAAATCACATTGAAATACGGTTTACAAGTCGCGAAAAACAAATAGAAACATGAAGATATCGAAAAATAAAATAAATTAATTTTTGAATTAAAACCAATTATTTTTTTTTTGAATTTTCGATTTTTTTAGTATGGCTAAGGGAATACGGTTTTGCCTTAATCTTCTAAAATATGCGACGACTCTTTCTTCAAATTCTTTTAATTGATTGTTAAATATCGGTATATTCATCTCATAACAGTTTCGACTGTAAAAATGACTAAATATATTGCAGTTACAATACATACAAATAACCAATATTTAAAAGCATGCAATTCGCGTATTAGTTGAAATCGGTTGATACGCATTTGGTTTTCGTATAAACCGGATCAATGTCTTTCAATAATTATTGGAATTTT